CTCAGACTCCACGGGATCTGACACAGTGGGAACACCGGCCAAGATGTGCAGCATTTCCACACAATGAAAACGCAGTGGAATCCATCGCTCTCCCGGATTGAGCCTGTTAAAAGCGTGGCAATTGAACCATCTGAGTTAGTTGACCTAGTTTCCGTTTGAGAACACCACAAATGGTGATACATTTGCGAATCCCGAGTATAGTCTCCGACAAGATTCAGTAATACTAAAAATCATCCCTACAATTTAGAGAATCAAGCTTCGAATAGCCCATTCGATTATTCAGAGACACCAGGCACTCCTGGTGATCTTGGGTGTGGGTTACACTCCGTGGGAGATCGGTAAATCCGCACAAGGTAAATGTATTCGAATGCGAGGGAAATGTTTGTGATGACTGACAAAGAACACTCGACAGCTGTTTCAGTCTGTTTGGGACACGTCAGCTCGTGTAGCTCAAGGGTAAGAGTTTGAAGTCTCAACCCCAAGAATCGCGGTTCGAGTCCTGACAGGAACACAAAAATTACGCACTGCTAGCGGGTCCCAAGCAGGACAAAACAGCTGTCCAGTGCTCTTTTTCGGTCATCACAAACATTTCCATCGCATTTGAATGCATTTGTACAATAATCTTTGAAGACAAAACGAACAAGAGAACAAGACGCAATGGAGACAAACTTTACATGTCGAAATATGTAGTACCCTTTTATATGCACCAGTCGGATTGAACAAGTACGCATCGAAAATAAACGGAATTTTCTTGGGGAATCCACAACAGGAGCCTTTGGCTAGCCAAAGCCTGACTCACAAGGCAGCGGGGCAGTGTGGGAAAACCGCAATCTATCGGGGGCCCGGTGTTCAGCTTATCGGATCATACTTCCTTTTGACGGGGTCAAACGTCCAAGGTGTCCCATACATCTCGATAGCCAATCGAGCGGGCGACCACTGCTACAACCAAGAAGGGTGTGTGCAGTTTGTACACCTATTCTTAGCCGACTTGGAATCATGGATTTTAGCCAACTCTCCTAGGTGAACTGCCCGGGCCACCGCCCCCAGTATTGGCATTTTGTTCTCCAACTTCGGTGGGAAAACACCACCATGGGAAGGCAGTGAGCAGGGCTTCCTGAACAGAAGCTATTCGAGACGCTTGATCGCACAGGAGCATTTCATGAGATGCAAGGAAAGGGTCATCAGCCACAACCACAGACACCTACCCCGGACCACACTGAGACTTTGAGAAAGCTGTTATAAAATACATTGAGAAGTTTGACGCACCCGCAAGCAAATATTTTTTTAAAAGTGAAGATTTAAATTAGATATTCTCCTGAAAAAATGATTTAGCGAACGGATTCGTATTGTCAAAAGTGGTTACTTACTTCACAGTGGCCACAAGCAGTTGTACCAATGGGTGTACGAGAGACTGAAGAAGTTGGTGGGACCCAGCGTGCTTGGCAACTAAATCCGTCCAAAGACGAAGACTGTTCACAAATTGCCAGTTTTGCACAGCCTGCGTATCTTCCTACAATAAAAAAGGGTGAATTCGATAGAAAGAATAGGAGCTAAAATACGTCGCGACCCAGCACTGTACACAAGCGTAAGATGATTTCCAATTGGATTAATGCAGTAAGCAGATATTGGGGGAGAGGGGCAGGTGATAATTACTATCTGACCTTGAAGAACATAAGGATAGAGCAGGAGGGCAAGCCCTACATTGAAAAGTCATCGAAAGTGGAACAATTACGGCCAACGTACTTTTTTCATTTCTTTTCATTTTACCTCCTTTTATTGATTATACAAAGGTACATGTTTCAGGAAAGGGGGAAGTGGCCAATCAAAGGGTTGCTATTCAACACACACACACACACAATGGGGAAAATCAGGNTGGTAGTGGGATTCGAACACATCTCCGGGGTGATCATTTGGTGACGTTACCACTGGGCCACCACCACCCGTACAGTACAAGACTACGAACAAGCATGATGCCGAAGCAACAACAATAGTAACAGAAAAAAAGGATAACAAACAGTGACAGTGGATCAAGACAACAAGAATATCAATGTTTTGTTGTTTTCTTCACTGTAAAACTTTTGATATTTTTGTATTGGTTTATCATTTTTATGGGGCACGGGATTTCAAAAGACAGACCGGACAGCATTTACGCCACTGACTTTTATTCTGGACCATATCTTTCAGCGTCGGTTACCAATGACAATCCTCATCTCTTGAACCCCAAACCAACCGAAACCAAAACTAAAGCCAGATTGTCCATACCGTTACGCAATACCATGGTGTGTGCACTTCTCTGGTCCAACGAGCTACACAGGATGGCCTTTGTTAAGTCGAAAAAGGTGAAAGGATAGGGATCAGACAAAGTTCATTCAACCTATTTAAGCCTTGTGTGATTTTCCACTCCGAGTCGAAGGGTTGGGTTGCCGATCTTCACTCGCACCACAAATGAACACAATACAATTCACATAAATTACAGAATAAGCACTCTACCTACAAACTCACAGGATTCTGTTGCCCTTACTAACATTCGTAGTTGAAGCTGAAAAGTTAATTCTTTAAGCCGCTTTCTTCAACCTCTCTCGTCAGACACCACTAATCTTCAGTTTCCCAATAACTGTCACTCTTCTTCTTGTCTGCTTAAAGCTGGTGTCTACGTCTATATCCATCATTCAGCCGGTTCTTCTCGACTTTCGCACCTCGATTTTTCCAGCCGCAACTTCGGTTCTCTTATTTTAATCATTACTTGTGTACCGTCTACCGCTTCCTGAGCAGCAGCGATCCGCCTATTTCTGATACTGTATTTTCCAACAGTGA